TGTTAAGTTAGAGAAAGCCAATTGCTCTGAATAAGATTTAAAAATTAATCTCACCCTGAGCCATTGATTGATATGTTAAGGACAATAAAGAGCAGATACACCTTTCTTATCTTCCAGATAGGTTTGCATGCGACCCACTGTAGACCCCTCCTTTCTTTTAGAAGATTTGTTTACACTAGAATACGAAGTTCTGCCTTCTGCTCCAGAGGGAAGAGGTGGGTGAACACATGCCACTTTAAGTGTCAAGCCTTACAGTTCCTGTCTACAGTGCAAAAGCAAACATCTGCATGTCACAGAGTTGCCTTGTGGGGCAGTGGGCAACCAAGAACTCCTCAGTGTAGCTCTTCATGGTTCCTCAACAGCCCGAGCTTTAAAAGTCTTGGTCTTCAACTTGATGCTATACGGAAGTAGTGAACCCCTAAACAGTGTGTTATGATTGGAGCTTCTCCAGTCGTTGACAACATGGCCATGAGGGAAGCAGGGGAGCTCTTCGTCCCCTCTTCCTCCCATCTGTTTTACTTTCTGAGCAGAAGTTGAGGATGCTTGGCCTGCCACGCACTTCTACCATTCTATACTACATCACTGGTCTGAATGCTGGGCTCCATGCTTCAAGGACTGACCCTCTGTCAAGAAACCTTCTCTCTTTGTCAAGAGGTTATCTCGAGTACTCAGCAGAATGGGGAAAAGATGGCTGACACCTATGATAAGGGTGTGAATATTAGCATTTCTATATTGTAGAGATAAAGATAGAATTAAGCTATAGTAGACTAATTTATCTTACTGCATAATTCAATAATGTTTTATTTTTATAGTAAAGGAATTTTTAATGAGAATTTTATACTTTTATACAATAAAACATGGTCACATCCACCACCTATTTCCTCCTCTCTGATTCTTCCAACATGGACCTCTCCTGACTGTATGTCTTGTGGTTTTGCTTTTATTTTTTTATAATGCACTAAGTCAAATTTGTGTTGTTCATACTTTTATGGATACAGGGTCATCCACTGGAAAAAGAAAAAATCTACCTGTGGCCACACGTTGGGAGGAAAAACAAAAAGCTTCCTTCTTCAGGAGTTATCAATGACCAATGGAGATGAAATCTAGAAGATTCCTAGAGTTTTTGCTGGCTTGATCTCAGGCAAGTCCCTCCTAAGAGACAGCGTTTCATAGCGTTCCTTCCCACCCCTATCGCTTACCTTCATTCTGCCTCTGAGGCCATGCTCCCTATAATAAGCTAATTCTTGTAGCTTGCCAGCAAGATAGCATGTAAGATCCTCTGTACTTCTGTAGCATGTGAATGCCTTGTCTTCTAAATAGTAACTAGGAAGATCTAAATTTAAATGAAATGATTTATAACTTGCATCTATGATATGGACAATTTTTGAAAAAAATATAAAGTCACACAATACAACATTGCTGATAATGACATAAGAGAACAAATACCCTGTTTTCTCTCATTTTATTCAGATTACAATGAGCTGCTTTGATTGCTGTTATTATCTTATAAAGTGATTTTATAATATTAAAATGTGCACACCCTATGATTTTAGTCTTTGGGGGATACTAAAACATAATTTCTCAAACAGAATAATTTATAGATAATAGGAATTTATTTTTCAAAGTTCTGAAGGATTGGGAAGTCCGCGATCAAGGTGCTGGTAGGTTCAGTGCAGTGCAGTGAAGTGAAGTGGCAAAGACCAGTCCTTACCTTCAAGGTGGGTCCTTGAATGACATCTCACCTGATAGTATTAACAAAAAGGCCTGGCTGATTCTCCACAAGCATTTTGTAAGGCCAGTAAATCCAATCATGAGGAGGAGGGCCATGGCTTCTTGAAGGCATGTCTTAAGCTATGCTAGGTCAAAGAATTTAATGGCCATAATTTCAAGATGGCTACTGCATCACTGACCCCATGTATACAGCTTTGTGTAGCCCATCCCCCTAGAAAGAAGATGAGATTATGACTAGGAAATATTTTACTCCTGTGATTATGAAACACGGTAAAAGATGAAACAGATTTCAGAAGTAATCACTGCCCTTCATCTACAGATTTTTAGTTCACGGAAAAGGAGAATATTTGGGTGAATCAAATTTAATCAGACAAATTAGGAAATAGAACTGGAAAACCAGTCCTTTTCTGGAAAATAAACAAACTTATAATAATAATAATAATAATAATAATAATAATAATAATAATAATAACTGAACACACAGGCTACAAGCTTCCTAGAACTTAGTCGTAGGACCAGTATGCTGCCAATCATCGAAGTGTATATACCAAGGCAGGTATATACATGGTGTCTTCAATGGAAGCAGTAGTTAGTGTAGTGATTTCTCAAACTTGAAATGTTTCCTCCCTTCTAAAGGGAGACTATGGCTGGTGAGCTGCCTGTGAGCCCTGCCCTTCCTCCAGAGTTTCAGCTCCGGTGAGCCATCAGCCAGGCTTAGGCGGCCTTTTTTTGGTAATGCATTTTCACTTGAGAAACCCTGATCCAGTAAATAGCCCTTCACCCATATTCCTGTGTGTAACCCTAACAAATTTGTTGGTTCACCAAATTAGGCGTTGATGGGACTGTTAATTTGGGTCTGTCATCAGTTTCCTATGTGAAACCGCATGGTTGTTTGTTCATATTTCCGTCAGAAAAAAGGACACAACAGTAGCTGACAATCCAGATCATAGCTCCAGTCAGTCTAGCAACATTAGGTAAGAACTATGTTGGTATGTTCAGTGTCCTTCTTCACGGTGATAATCAAGAAGTAGTGTAGAGTAGGGGTGGCCACTTGTTTTGATTTGGTGGTTACAGGGCTGGAGAGCGAACTCAGAGCCTTGTGCATATTAGGAAAAGTTCTATCCTTTGAGTTAGACCTCATGTATTAATGCTTGAGAGAACTCTTTCATTGATTAGCATGGTTATTGGATGGCCTAAGTTTTCTCAGAGTTTCATAAGCTAGAAGAAAGCACAAGCCTTCAGAAATTGCAGCCTACCAAAAGCTAACTTCTCAGAACATTTCTTTAGTAAATGACAGAACTACAAGCTGTGGAGAGTAGAGCCTGTGAAGAGCCAGCCACCGCGATGACAGCTATATTCTTGCCAGAGTATCTAGATTATTTTCTGGAAAGAACTCCTTAGTAAAATGCAGTGTGGAGAGCGCCGGAAGGGGGATATACTGTCTTGCGAGATGCTCACTGGATGGCGACGGTCACCAGCTTAGCAAGCACCCCCTCTTCTCAGTAATCCATCTTCGCTATAAAACAGTAATTCTGCAGGTAGTGAATGCTCACCATTCCAGACTCACACTAGGGATAACTCCACTGACAATGATATGTGAATGAACAACTGAAAACCACATGCATCTTTCCTATAGAAAAGGGGCAGATTCTGTTGTCACTCACTTCTGCTCTTGACCTTTCTCCATCATTCCTGTCTCAGGGCGCAAACAGGAATTCTACAGGAACAAGAACCACCCCTAAGCATGAAGAAGACAGGCGCACAGTGTGCTAGAGGGAGTTGGGTATTAAGGGAAGAACTTGGCAGGAGATGTCATCTCAGAACTCTCACATCGTCTGGAGTGACTATCTGAACCTACTATTCCTCCCTGACAAAAACAAGATGCCTATTTGTATCTAACCATGCAATAATGCTCTTGTTCATAAGGCCAGAGGAACACAGAACCAAAATATGTGGGTTCTTTGAAAATGTCTTATATTTACATTTAGACAACAGATACGTCAAAACATTTTATCGTACATAATAAGTATAACCTTGCGTGCCCATTTGAAAACTAGTAATAATACAGCAATAAAGATGTGAGAGACAAAGAAGAATTGTGATGGCTGACCTAGATGGTCAACCTGATGGCTTTAGAATCACCCGGGAAAGACATCTGGGCATAACGGTGAGAGATTGTCTAGACTGGGTTAACTGAGATGGAAAGACCCATCCTGAATGTGTGTGGTATCCTTCCATGTTCTGGGGTCCCCAGCTGCATAAAGGAAAGAAAGGGATGAAGTGTTCATCACTCTCTGCTTCTGGGCTGTGAACACTTTGTGTCCAGCCACCTCATGCTCCTGCCACCACAACTTCCACGCCATTGTGGGCTGTATCCACGCTGGAACTCCAGTCAGAATCAACATTTCTTTCTCTTAAGTTGCCTTTGCCAATTATTTTGTTACATCAAAGACAAGGGTAATGAATGAATGAATGAGAGAAAAAAAAATAACTTGGTCCTCAAACTTATTTCTAAATAGGCACTTTTAAAACAACACAAAAACATATGATATATGATTAATGTGTCAGATAACACTTGTTTGAAAAATTCAATTTTATTTTAATAAAAACTTTTACAACTGCCGGTCTTTTTTCTTCCAATGTACGCAATTAGTGAAATCAAATTATAAAAATGATCATTATGGAAACAAATTTGTTTCATCTTGCTATTGGTTCACCCATGAGTCTACTCACCAGAAAGTATTACCTTTATATAAGTAATATATCCCTATTATATTGACCTAATATATCCCAAGCTCTCCACTAGCCTCTGAGGATTCAAAGACAAATTAATACCATTCTTGCATCTCAGTAGTGTGTGACAAACAATTACTTACAATCTAATGTATGTAAGATTCTCTGTTACTACAATTTAAAGAAAATCTCAAACAACCAGAGCCTATGGTCACTATTGTAAAACATCAACAGTGATCTATGCACTGGCCGGCCAATGGGGAGGCTGGATATTCAATTAGATCACTCAATATAACAGAACTGAAAAATCTGAAGGAAGCTGGACATGGGTTTGATGGTATAGGACTTTAATCAAGAGGCAGAGGGAGTCCGATCTATTAGTTACAGGCCAGCCTGGTGTGCAGAGTGAGTTCTAGGACAGCCAGCGCTACACAGAGAAACCCTGTGTCTCAAAAAATTAATAAATAAAACAAATCAAAACAAAAATAAAGAAAGAAAAACTGGAGGGCAAACATGAAATTAAATATTTATACACTCGCCCCTGACAACGGGCAACGAGACACCTTGTTGGTGGTGGTGTTCATATACCAGACAGGGGCAGAGCAGGTGGCTGTCCTAAGTTCATCCTAGCTTGATGCCTGACTTGCTGGACAAAGCTGTCTTATGCCTAGGGCTCATAAAATCAAATCTGGGCAGCTCAGTGCAAGCGGAGGAAGACAGACAGAGGACTAAAGACCTCCATGTCATCCCCAGACCTGGCATCCAGCACATGGCACAGGCGAGCTACCGAACCTGCTTGTCACCATGCCACAGAACACCGTTACAGATGTCACCCATAGGCCCAACAGCAGTGTGGCCAACCTGCAGGAGGAGCCACCACAATGTGCAAGTATGTGGTGGTCAGATGGGAGAGAAGGAGAAGTGGAACAGTTTGAGCATAATGAGGAGAGTTAGAGCTGGAGACTGGAGGGTGGAGAGGACTAGGCTGTTATGAGTGGCCAGGCCATCACCTGGGGTCATGGGGGTCATGGTGAGGTCCCAGCCTGAGCTGACACTGAGGGCCATGTGTGAGTCCTCTGTGGCTATGGAGAGGGAGGGGTAGCTGTGATATCTGTGCCTCATATTACCATCAGAGAAAGCTGGAATGTCCCTGGTCAGGGCCAAGGGATCACGTGGGATGTCCAGTGGCTATGCATAACTGGCCCTACTCCTCACTGATGTGGCACTCTGGACAGCTGTCCGCATCTCTCCCCAGCAGCACTCAGCAGAGCGGGCCTTGCACCTCACTCAGACGGCACAGCGGAGCTGGCCCTGGTGGCTGGGTGTGCAAGTGAGGCAGCCCCCTAGGATGAAAGTGTGGGAGAACTGTGCCCTCTGCTTATCTGCTTTGAATCGGAGGGATATATGGATGATGCCTTGTACTCCTAGCCCCTCACCATCTGCGAAAGCACGGAGAGCTGGCTCCTGGGTCATGAGAACAGGAGAGTTGTCGCTGTCCCTCACTGGCTGGAGTACTGGAGAGATCAGACCCTGCATCTTGCTTAAGCAGCACGGTAGGTCTGGCCCTGGTTGAGGGGGAACAAGTGAGCCAGCTCTGAGGACAGAGCCAGGGAGAGCTGGCCCTCCCACTGTCTGCCATGAGGTGGTGTGAGTATGGGGGGGGGGTGATTCCCTCCCTCCCCTCAAAACCTGCAGCAGTCAGGAGAACTAGCTCTGAGATCATGAGAGCAAAGAGCAACTGAGCTGGCCTTGTCCCTCTCAAGCTGCAGTGCTCGGGAGAGCTGGCCCTGCACCTCGTCTGGGCAGCACAGTAGAGCTGGCCCTGGTGAAGGGGCACAGGTGAGCCAGCCTCAAGGGCAAGAACACAGGAGAACGGGCCCTGCCATTCATCTGGATTGGAGTGGCGTGGGTATCTGGGTGATGTCCTCCCTCTCCCCTCCTGGTCACCTGGAAGAGCTGGCCCTGGGGTCATGAGAGCAAGAAAGCTATCCCTGCCCCCTCACTTGCTGTAGCAATCGGGAGAGCAGGCTTTGCACCTTGCCTGGGCAACACAGTAGAGCTGGCTCTGATGTAAAGACAAGGGTGAGCCAGCCCTGAGGGTGTAAGGGTGGGAGAGCTGTCCCAGCCCCTCACAGGCTGCAGCACTTGGGAGAGGGGCCCAGCACCTTCACTTGGCAGCACAGCGGAGCTGGCTCTGGAGGCCTGGGTGTGGGTGAGTTGGCCCCTAGGGCATGAGAGTAGGAGAGCTGATCCCATCCTCTGCTCATGGAGGCCTTGGGTGGCAGTAGCAGTGCTAAAGAATATGCCTGAGTGGTGCTGATAAGAGAGAGCCAGTGGGTTGATCAGCTCAGCTACGACCCAGGCCCAGATCCAGGGCTCTGAGCTGGCCCACCCTAAAATCTATACCATCTAGGAACTGTTAGGATGTGTGCAAAGGCCAGTCCTACTGTTCCAAAGCTTCAGCATCTCCATGACACAGGGCACTAAGCGGGAAGGTCCAGATATGATCCAGAATTGATGGAGTCACGGAAGCCAGAGATCTCAAACCAGACCGTGAATAATTGCGGTGAACATTTGTTTGCAAATGAAAATGTGTTGCCAGAGGGATACACTGTGTGACACTCTGACATACTACAGCTTCCACGATAAGGTTTTTTTTTTTTATACTTTGTTGATGTTGTTGTTTGCTTTTATGTTTTATTTGGGGGAAAGGCTGCAGGGTGAGGGGCAGAGATGAAGGGGCAAGGAGATGAGCAGACTGGAGTGCATGATGTGAAACTCGCTAAAATCAACAAAAAGGTTTTAAAATTATATATGTATATATATATATATATATATATATATATATACACCAATTTGCTTTTTTCTTTGATTTAAAATTGACCTAAAACAATATTCAAATAATAGCAAAACGAAAAAGATGAAAGGAGAAGAAAAGAAAAAAAAAGGAAAGAGGGATGAATGGAAGAGCAATAGAAAAAGAGAGGAGATAATATACACATACATGTGTGTGTATATATATATATATATATATTTACAGAAAGAGAGAATACACAATATCAATTAATTGGAAATAGCCCAATAACATTTGGTTGCTAACAACTTTACCCAGTGAAATATTTTTTAATTGGAAAATCTTAATATACACTATTTTCAACAACTGCTAAGTTTTAGAGAATACATCTATCGTACATACATACTCACATATATAATATGTGCAAATATCAGTAAAATAATTGACCATTATATCAAAATTCTAGCTACATAATTTTCATATTTTCCAAACGATGTAGTTACTATGTGGCCTTAAAGATTCCACAGTGACTGCAGTGCTTAACAAAAAGAAAGAAAGAAAAGAAAAGCACAGGGCTGGAGAGGTAGTTCAGAGGGTGAGAGCACTGACTGCTCTTCCAAGGGTCCTGAGTTCAATTCCCAGCAACCACATGGTGATTCACAACCATCCATAATGTTATCTGGTGCCCTCTTCTGGCATGTGTTGTACATGTGGACAGAACACTGAATAAATCAATCTTTTTTTTTTTTTAGCACTATAATAATTATAGTCCAGAATTTGAGAGTTCTATACACAGATAAGTTTTCCAACTCTGCTTAAGAGCCAAGAAGTTCTGACACAGGGTCTGGAACAAAGGAGCCACACTGGGGTACATAGCTAGAAAGCAGATCCTATAGGGTCACAGGGCTCCCCAGACATCTAGTGCTTCAGTAAGAAAAACATCTCTGGGACTAGAGGGAGTGCATTGCAAGAGAAATAAATGAGGACTTCTAGTTAGGTAAAAAAAAAAAAAATTAAGGGTTTGTACACAATACTGCTTCTGTTTTCACTTCAAAAGTTTGAGGTTAGCTCTGATATATTTTGGAAAAAGATTTTGCTTCTGTGTATCCAGTGCACTGTGTGTGTGTGTGTGTGTGTGTGTGTGTTTGTGTGTGTGTGTGTGTGTGTGTGTGTGTTCACAAGTGGGAAGGCCAGGCGTTAATATGCGGTGTCTTCCTCAATTGCTTTCCACTTTCTTATTTGAGAGGTTTCTTACTAAATCCAGGGCTTGCCATTTGTGCAGGCCAGCAAGTCCCTGGGACCCACTTGTTTACATCCCTAGTTCTTGGTTGATAGGTATGATCACTGTATCTGCTTTTTGTAGGTTCTGGGGATCTGAACTCTGATTTTCCTGCTTGCATGGCAAGCGTCTTATCCACAGAGCCAACGCCACAGCCTCCATCACTGACCTTTGGATGCTCTGTGAGACTGATTTCTACCTACCAAGGTCTGGGTGAGTGACCTTCAGTTTCAGGCAATTGCTCCATTTCACTCTCGCTTGTTTTTGTAAGTTGTTGTGAGGTGTAACACACAACTGAGGGTCACACAGGCTGTGTGTGTGGGCACCAGCTGCACATGAAGAGGACAGGATGCGTTTCAGCCTCTGCAAAGTAGAAAGAGGGCTCAAATGAGGGGCAAAAGTCCTTCTGCATACAGGCCTTGCAGACGTTAGAGACTTGGACATCACTTCCTAGTTTGTCTGGTTTGCAGGCCAGGACTATAAACCGATGCTAAATCCCTTATGAGCTGAAGCAGCTGCAAACTCCCAGCTTTGAATTTCTGTGCCAGGCCTAGGGAGACAGTGGTGATAAGCTCCCTGAAATTCCATTTATTTTATTCATCATCTAGGGCCAAGGGTGGTGGTGTGGAGGGAATCGTCTCTTGGATTCATGAGGCTTAACTGTAATCTCACAAGAGTTATTTACAGAACATGGTTATAGGCTGGTTTGGGATTTGTTAGTTATATAAACTCTGGCTGTGGCTTTAGATTTAGACTTAGGAGATCCAATCCAAATGCAAGATTCAAATAGCTTGGCTTGCGTTCTCCCTTCTGGGTAGAACAATCCTACTATGGTGATAGTTCCCACCAAAGCTGGCCTCACTCCTTTATGTTCCTCTCTGACTCCTCCTGGTGTGACCTAATGTTTCTCTGCCCCTCCCCCATGGAGGCCTATTACATAACTTAATCCAGAGTGTTCCAGCACAGATCCAAGATTCATCCATCTTCCCCCTCAAAGTTATGGCACCTAGCCTCCTGCAACTTATGCAGTATTTTCCTCTTACCTTCCTGGTCCTCTCTTCTCCTGCCTGTTCAGACTTTTGGAACTGCTTGGAATAGTCGTTCTGGTCAAGGCATTGAGTTCCTAATGGCTGATGTTATGAAATTTCCACCTGCAGCCTTCCAGTTGCTTTTGGATCCCAGCCCTTGGCAAGCTCCTCAGTGCAGTCTGCTCTGCTCTTTCTCTCCTTCTGTATCCAAGTTGTCTCTGAACTTCTTGCACAATCTCTCATCCAATAACAACCACACAGCTCCCTGTTTTCTAGCTAGTTAGATTTGAAAATTTATTATTCTCTCACTTTGTTTGTTTGTTTTGTTTAGTTTAGTTTTGTTTTGTTTTCCTGACCTCAATGTCTCATTTTCCCCTTCAACTGTTTCCAGCCTGATTTTTGTGATCTCACCCTCTCTTTTTAGGGAATTACTTTCTTCCTGTAGCTTAAGTATTTTTCAGAGAGGTCATGGTGATAATGGAGTAGGCTGCTTCCTTTTTGGAGAGATGTTATCAAGCACTGCAGATGGCTTAGCATCCCTGGCCTGTTGATTCACTACATTCCAGGAGTGTCCTCACA